TATATATATATATATATATGTAGATGTTTATACATATATATTTATATATATATGTATTTTTGTATGTATTTTATGTCCGAAAGTTAACTGCAAACGAAAGGAAATGCAAGTAAAATCAATTATTTTAATTTAATTTAAATTATATGCAGGTCTCAGGGACTAGAATGGGTGGGGTAGGGACGGTGCGGGGCGTAGTTGTGCATGATTGTGGCTAGGTAAGAACAGCAACAGAAACATGTTCAACATTTTTAATGAATACCTAGAAATGTCAACGTGGTCTATTTGCAACTGTTGTCGTTGTTGTTCTTGCTGTTGTTATTATTGTTGTCCATTTTCAGTTGCTGTTGTGTGCGGGTATGCGAAGAAATAGATCCGAAAACTGACGGAAAAATCGATGTAATTAAAATGACGCACGACCTAATCATTGAAGAGCTGGCGCAGAGGCAAACAGAATTGCAAAATGTTGAGCTATTCAAATAGGTCAAAGGCAAAGTAAGCGGATAATCAGACACTCCAGTACAATTTAGATAAATATATGTATACACATGGTGGTACATATATTAAATGACATGAGTATGATATATAGATAAAGGTAGAAACATAAATTAATATATAATTAGTATGATACATAGATAAAAGTAGAAATGCGAATAGAAATAATATTTTTTGGTAAATACATCTATATTTATATACAAGTTTATTTCTTAGTTAAGTTATTTGAGATCCTGGAATACAAAATACCAACAACCATTAAAACATCTACTTATTCAAAAACTTTTATTTCTTCCCAATATACATTATCATCTGCCTACGGTTATGTAAATATTCTACTTTTTGGTAGGGCTTCTGAACGTAAGAGGCCAAATACATATTCCTGTTAAAGCTCTACTATATCTCCGTACATTTTGTCGCTTTTAGGATTGAAAAATCAGTCCGATTCAAATATTTTTTTTATATTCTTCAAGTAACTTTAATTTCAATGCAGATTTATTGCATTAATATTTGCGAATGCTTGAAAAATTTTGCGAATATAATAAAATTAAATTTTAATGAAATATTGATATTATTAGAAAGAGAATACTTTCACTTGTATTTATATTTTTTCACTGTTTTTGTTGTTTTATCTTAATGGCCAACAATTTCAGTTGACTCATCTGCGTTCTAGCTCAGCAATCCAATTACCCATTGTTCTTATAGGCAATAGGTTGCATTGCCTTTATATTTATTATTTTCGTTTCGGTTTGATGAAAGCCAAATGTAATGCATACATATAAACATGCTAAATAGAATGACTGATGGAAAGGGGTATAAAGTATTTTACGTTATTTGCCCAAAAGAATGTAATATTTATAGTTTGTCGAATAGACCTACAGAACTACTTTTTATATCCCAAGGTACCACCTTGTGTATCCCAAGTATAATACATATTAAGGAACAATTTAATTGATTGATATATGAAATATTTTAAATGTTTGACTTCAAAATAATTACAATAATTAATTATCAAATATCAGAACGCTTTCCAGTATTTGTATAAAGTATTTTAAAATAAATTTAAGAATTTGTATATCATTTGATTATCATTATCCAATACATATTTCGAATTCAATTCGTCAATATAATTTAAAATACATAGTTAACGTGAGATAAGCATTCTGTGTGCTTTCCCCTGACATAGAGCAGGGTATATCACCATCTATAGGTCACTCACAATAGCTCTACACGATATATGTATGTAGATATAGGCTAATCCAATCTATATATAAAGCAAACTTTCAATGCCTTTGGCCTTCACCCACTACTTGTTCTTTTTTTTCTGTTCTGCTTTATTCCATGCAAATTTCGCTCAATATTTAAATTCGAAAAATTTCACCTTTGCTGCGTATTTTCCTATTTTATTTCTGTTTTATTATTTGCCTTCTTTTCATTTTCCTCGGTCATTTTTGCATGCGCTAGCAGCACAAATCGTGCGAAAAACTAATATTTTAAAAATAAACAAACAACTGTCGGGCTGATTGGGTGAGGCGGGGGGCGGGACAGAGTGGGCGCTGCTTTGATACGGCGGCATATATATGTATGTATTGAGAGCCGGCAGAAGTACCAAGAATTATATTTACGAAATATTTTTAAAATAACAAAACGAAGGCGATGAAGATTTTGTCTCTGCCGCTACCGCTGCTGCTGTGCTGCTACTGCGACGCATTATTTGAGGTTAAGTGAAAAATGGAAAATGTATAAAAGTAAAATAAAATATTTGAAATTGTGTTGCATGCCATTGAATGCAAAAAGGAATTACATAAATGCAAAATAATATGCAATATTTTTACCTTTGCATTTGAAAACAAATCCAAAATTCAGAAATGTAAATAAAACTTGTTGCTCTTCAGATTTCGACGCGATTACGAAACACTTTATTATTATTATTATTTGTATTTATTTGGGGATTGCTTATCTTACGTGTTTTTTGTATCAATCAAAAACAAAATAAACCGAAAGATAGGCGATAACTTTTGCAAATTAATTGGCGTTGATTATGTTTTAGTTTTGTTTGGTATTTGAAAAACGTTAACTAAACGGCAAAAGGAACGAAAAACCAAACGAAACCGAAGCGAACCGAACCGAACGCG